TACCGAAAGAACCAAGAATATGAATCCCTGCAGTCACGAAAGCTTTAAATCGAAATAAAAAAAATCTTGTGAAGCCTACTCGCAGCTTTCTAAAAACACATTTGAAGAAGAGATACAGCAAAAAACATTTTTTTTCTGTATTACTGATGTCCGATTGTACTCTTTCACACAAACTAACCATGGACGGTTACGGAGTGCTGCCAAACATTGTTAGAGCAACCATGTGTTGTACATCTTTGCAAGTGTGTGGCAAAAGCCCTGGATTCAGGGTGCGATCAATTCAAGTAGGCGCATTTACTTGCAATATCAATCGAGCACCATGTTGCAAGTTGATATTTGCGCGTCAGCTGTGCGGAGCTGCTTGATGAGGGCCATGCACGGTTTGGCTCGTTTTGACTTCATCCGTGCACCACAATAATTTCGTGTTCCACATTTAGTTGTCGGATGGATGCACTATCACCTAAAAATCACTGAGCACTGCTGGACTTAAAATTAATCTTTCGTGGGTATCGCTTTGGGAAATTATGATTATGCAAACGCATTAGCTACTATATAGCATCGCGATGTAAGCCGACAGCAATAAATGAGGAACACATTCACTGTGCATGAAATAAATGGCAAAGAGCGGAGTTAAAATGTTCCATCATTCATATATTTCTTTAAAATGTTTACATTAAAAAATATATACTGTGTGGTTCATTACAACAAATACATGTCTTAGTATTTTAATCTCGCCAAGGGAGGATTTGACAAAAGCTAATTGATCAATAAAGCACGAGCCATTTCATAGAAATATCTGCAAAGACTCAAGAGGACACAATTCCATATTGCTTGGAAGCTGCAACTCTGATAGATTTAAGTCAGAGATTTTCACCTTGCAGTCTTCACACCTTCGCACAGTCCAGGTTTCGATAAACACTAAGCAACGTAAGTATGCAGCGTTACGTTGCATAACATGCATTTGACCGGATAATATGCATTGCTAAATGCAAAGGCACTGGGGGGTAAGGCATGGGGGGAAAAAAACGCTTGAGAATGTGTCCAAGTGGAAAATGAGCTTTTAAGGCTCACTCGAAGTCCTTTGAGCGTAAAACAATCAGTACTTGTAGATGTGTTTACAATAATACGCATTGTGTGATTTGAATTTGAACGTACTGCATGCCTATGTTTAAAGCGAGATGTGGAAAATAGACGTTTGTGTCTGGGTGTCGATCTTATTGACGAGAGGCCAGAGTTGAGCACCTTTGGTAATGGAATCCACGTGATGATACAGCAATATGTGTATGCTGGGGACACAGTATAAATGTTAATAAGACCATATTGCTCAAGGGGAAACTGAGGTGAACCCACATGGCAATGTGCTGTTGTCACCTTGGGAATAAGTGCAGTGCGTCTAGAAACACGTGGGTCAAAGGCAGGGCCAGGGTTTAACATGGACTTCGAGAATGCCGTAGATCTGACCAGACAAACATACACGACTTTTGGCGAGCGTCAAATCTCACAATCTCTCCAAATGAAACTGCAACAATGGCAGTCTAATTAAATTACGTAAGTCCGCCGCTACCATTTTGTCTGTTGTTAAAATAAACCTTTAATCTTCATGCTCTGGAAATACGTGACAGATTCGACCGCAGTGAATTCCACGAACAGTTCACCATGGTTCTGGCATTTAGAGTTGTCAGGAGTATTGTCTGTGCATGGTCCCTTTAAAGGGTCGCTCACAGATGCCATAGTTGCCTTTGAGGTGAGGTGAGGATATCTCGTTTCCTCGCCAGAAAAGAATCTATATATATAAATCGTGAATCTGTCTGTCTGTCTGTGTCTGTGTGTCTCCGGAACATACGCACTTTCATTGGACGGCGGTTGCCCCTGGCAACGGCTAGCGACGCCTTCGCCGCTTTCATTGGACCTGGCAACGGCTAGCGACGCCTTCGCCAAGGGCTGCAGTTTCATTGGACGGCGGTTGCCCCTGCCAACCGCTAGTCACGCCTTCGCCACTTTCATAAGCTCCGTAATTAATTAAATAATAGCCATTACACAGTATTGTTGGAGCGTTAGGGGGGGGGGAAGGAACGCCACCCGTACCCTGCCTCTTCCAAGCCGACAATTTTAGGCGAGGCCGCAGGCTTTGCACGCTACTAGGCCTCGACACCCACCACGCCACTCTGAGGTAAATTCATCAAAGTTTTTCCTACTCTTCACTCCACCCCCACCACAATGTGTGCTATTAATATTACTTTTAAACCCGAAGCTCCAACAATCGATTACTTTAATGTTCACTGTACAAATCATCATTAAGCTGGGTGAGCGTACTGACAGTCTATTATGTACACTGTAGCCTGCTTATTAAGCTCTGTGAGCGTACTGCCACTCTATCATGTAGACTCTAGCCTGCTTATGAAGCTGAGTGGGTGTACTGGCAGTCTATAATGTAGACTGTAGCCTGGTTATTATAATCGATTCTTTAAATGTTCATTGTACAAATAGTCATTAACCTGCTTTAGCGTACTGCCCGTCTATTATGTAGACTGCTGCCTGCTTATTCAGCTGGCTGGGTGTACTGCCAGTCTATCATGTACACATTAGCCTGGTTAGGAAGTAAAGTTAGTCAATTTGTAACACGTACGCTTTCGCAAACATTATTCATAAACAACGTTATTGCATTTAGATCGCCTTATTTATTAAGGTGTTGTCACCCTTATCCACCACCCGACACGCCCAATCTGCACAAAATTGTCACGTTCGTAAAAGACTAAGACTTGACTGCTTTAGCCCACCGGTGTGTTCAAGCGGAAAACCACAACAATTACCATTTCTCATGAAAAAACTACTGTATAATTATGTTTAAACCCCACGCGCCAATAATGGATTTGTTTAAATGTTCACTCAACAAATACTCATTAAGCTGGCTGAGCGTACTGCCACTCTAGAATGTACAGTGTAGCCAGGTTATATTTCTGGGTGGCTGTACTGACAGTCTATCATGTACACATTAGCCTGCTTCTTAAGTAAAGTGAGTCTTTTTGTAACATGTACGCTTTCGCAACCATTCTTCAAAAATAACTTTATTGCCTTTCGCTCGCCTTAATTATTAGTGTTGTAACCCTCCACCACCCCACACGGCCAATCAGTCAAAAAGTGTCCTGTTGATAAAACACTCATAAGTCTCTGCTTTGGCCCACCGGTGTGTACAAGCGTAAAACCACAACAATTCCCATTTCAGAGTACGTCCTTTCGCTGATGCTGGATGCAATTACCAGCCAAACGTCGTACTGTTCAGTTGTCTGTCCATCTGTGTACGATCGCTTGCGAAGGATTTGCCGGGAGGCACGTCCCGTGCCCCGCGATGGGAATACGCATGTCACTGTGTATGTGTTTGTGTGTATGTATGTGTGTTTGTGTGTATGTGTGTGTCTGCGTGTATGTATGTGTGTGTATGTGTGTGTCTGCAGCAAGCGCGTGTATGTGTACCTATGGACGCGCGCGCGTGTGTTGTGTAGGGGGAACGGTAGTGTAGTGGTTAGCGTGCTGTCTGTGTCTGTGTGTGTGTGTCTGTGTGTGTGTGTCTGTGTGTGTGTCTGTGTGTGTCTGTGTGTGTGCGTGTGTGGTGTGTGGGGAGCGGTAGTGTAGTGGTTAGCGTGCTGTCTGTGTGTCTGTCTGTGTGTGTCTGCGTGTGTCTGTGCGTGTGTCTGTGCGTGTGTCTGTGCGTGTGTCTGTGCGTGTGTCTGTGCGTGTGTCTGTGCGTGTGTCTGTGCGTGTGTCTGTGCGTGTGTCTGTGCGTGTGTCTGTGCGTGTGTCTGTGCGTGTGTCTGTGCGTGTGTCTGTGCGTGTGTCTGTGCGTGTGTCTGTGCGTGTGTCTGTGCGTGTGTCTGTGCGTGTGTCTGTGCGTGTGTCTGTGCGTGTGTCTGTGCGTGTGTCTGTGCGTGTGTCTGTGCGTGTGTCTGTGCGTGTGTCTGTGCGTGTGTCTGTGCGTGTGTGGTGTGTGAGGAGCGGTGGGTGTAGTGCTTAACGCTACGCTGCGCTACCAACCCGGCGAACCCAGTTCGATTCCCGCTCACGGCCACCACCGGTGACGATTATTTGAACCTCCCCTAGGTCGACTCTGCCTCAAACGAGTAACTGCTGTGGCGTATTAACATCGCCACTGGGGAGACAAAGGCGGCCGGCCGTGGTGGATACAAGTCCCGGGCGAAGCCGGGTAGTACAGCTAGTTAAATATAATATTTTTGTCCTAAAAAGTGTAAAATTTTGGAACAAAAAATTTCACGAACATTAATTGTCTCGCACAACGAGTCTGTGTGGAAAATGTCAGCTCGATTGGATCACGGGAAGTAGGTTAAAAAACGACCGAAAGATTTGCACGGTCGTAAGCAAGCAAGTGTAGAGGTGTTAAAGAGAGGGCCCGTTATGCATGGCAGCCTATGGAAAACAAACACAGTGGGCGGGGCTACGTAAGTGCACGAGGAGGTGCCCTCTACGACGTCCGAGCCAGACACCCTGGGGGGGGCTGGTTCGGACGTTATGATCCCCCGGGGCCCCACCCCTCAGGGAGGGGTTGGGTATAAAAGGGGATGTTTCAAAGGGCTCGGGAGTTATGTTTTAAGCTAAAGGAAAGAGACTGAAGACGTCTTAGATAGAGCCCTGGACTCCCCTGGTTCGATGTCCTTTTCAGGGCCGGACAGGACTGAGCCAGCGGCGTGGTCCCGAAAGCCAGAGCCGGTGCTCTTGTAAGAGCTGGTCTGGAACTCCGGGTACCGGGCCCGACTTACCAGTGTCGGGCCAGATAGCCTCCCCTAGCCCATTAGGGGTGTATCCCGAGTTATACGGGTGAGGGGGCCGATACCCCCTCGAGTGTTATATGCCCACTGTCGTATTGTGAAATAAATATACGTGTGCCTCAACCTCGGTGTCAAGCGTCCTCACCGGTACTTCACAAGCGAACTTAATATAAAGAATTTTAAAACCCTGCGGCTGAAACGCGGATAAAATCGCGGCCACTCTTCACGCCGTTTAAATCAACCGCGCACGATCCGGGTCTCACCGTCCAGCAGCTCGTAGATGAGCACGAAGTTGTTCTTGATGTTTTCCTCGGAGATCTTCCCGAAGTAGGAGGCCATGACCTCGCACAGCTTGAGCAGGAACTCGAACACCATGGCGGCGTTGACATTCTGGCGCGTGACGGCCGCCAGCCACACGTTGGAGCGCTTCACGTGGAAGAAACTCGTGCGGGCGATGTTGGTGACGGGCGAGCGAACCTGCTGCCTCGCGTGGATGACGTTCACGCGGAACGCGTCCACCGCGTTGCGCCTTGCGGGGGGACGGGGGTGGGAGCGGAGGGGGGGGGGGCGGTAACGCGTACTCGCACGCGCGCTCGCCAACTCTGATGCCCCCATGGCAAAAAGATCGCCCCCCCCCCCTCCCATAGAGCGTTTAATAAACTGTTGGGGCGGGTGCTGTTAGCGAGCAGCACCTGTGAAGGCCGGCACGGCACGGCACACGAAGGGAGGTGGGTGGCCAGCAGCTACCCAGCGGTGATGTTTTTACACACCGCGCCAACTACTCATTTGAGGCTGAGTCGACCTTCGGGGTGGCCTAGGACCAGTTCAGAAAATCGTCACTGGTGTTGGCTGCAAGTGGGAATCGAACTCGGGTCGCCGGGTTCGTAGCGCAGCGCGCTAACTGCTACACTACCGCTACCCCCACACACAGATGCACAACACACACTCACTTTCTAGCTCATACACTCACTCCTGCACTCAACTCTTCCCCTAACACTCTCAGCTCACTCTAAATAAAAAATTAAATATTTAGCGGGCAAAACCCACTGAGCTATGGAGTTCTTTTTCAGAAGCGACCTGGCCACAAATGATAGCACAACGAAGTGGCTGATCACGTGCACATTTATAGCAGACAAATACTCCAACCGTGTATTGATTCTAAATGTGGAGGGGAAAGCCGGAGAACCCCGGAGAAATATCCACACGATCACGGGGAGAACATCCAAACTCCAAATATACAGCAGGCGTCAGGGTCAGGCTCGAACATGACCCAGAGCCGCGCTAATCAAAAAATTAACCCGTAAAAACAAAGTTTTTCACTATAAATCCTTTATATGCGTGGCAGCTAGAATCTTCTCGTCCTCTGGCTTGAGATGGCTGCCACCTATGGGTCAGATGATTGTCTGCCAGTATTAAGCAATTGGTAATTAAATATTTAATTTGTTTTCCCTAAACAGTGTAAAATTTTGGAAAAAAATTTCACGAACATTAATTGTCTCGCACAACGAGTCTGTGTGCAAAATGTCAGCTCGATTGGATCATGGGAAGTGGGTTAAAAAACGACCGAAAGATTTGCACGGTCGTAAGCAAGCAAGCAAGCACGCAAGCAAGCAAGCGAACTTAATATAAAGGATTTAAAAATCAAACTCCGCCCACTGTTGTAAAAATATGCAACTACTGTACTGTAGAGGCGATCGCGTAGATTTCGGATTAACCAGATGCAACATATTTGTTCGGTTTAAGCACATAACTTGTAATAAACATTTCCAAGAATAACAACTTATCACTGTTTTTAGATTACTAATTTGGGATTAAGGTAAAATGCACGAGTAATAAATTAATGTCAAAATCTCACGCGGATGATGGAGAGTCTACTGTACTTTTTTAACGTTATTTCCGCAATAATAGTGGTGGCAGTGCCGGATTATCCTCGTAGCAAAAGCAGCTACACATGCTATGGGCCCCACACTTTCGAAGGACCCCGCACTAAATGCTTTGAAGCTATCAATTCCGGTTCAGTGACTCTGCACTTGCGCTATTACTATAGTACTATACCGCCTTCAACTTCTATGAATGACTGGTTAGCGATTTGTCGTATTATATGGCTGTCTAGCAAATGAAAAGATACAATTACTTCACAACGCAAGTAAAAAAATTGTGTTTTAATATTTACGTTTTTTTCAATTTAGGGCACCTTTACAAACATATGCTACAGGCCCCGCACTAGTTTAATCCGGCACTGAGTGGCAGAGGTCGCAACCGGGTACCCGATACCCGTACCCTACACGATACCCGGCTACCCGTACCCGGCCAGGTACGGGTAGCCGTTTGCGACCCTGGTGCGGCCGGGTACGGGTAGGCCGTGAGTCACTGGTGAGTAACCGTCCTGTCACTCATTTCGGGTAGGATAGGGTACGGATAGGGAACGCGTACCCGTACCCGGCCGGGTACGGGTACCCATTTGCGACCCTGGTGCGGCCGGGTACGGGTAAGGAATCAAAACCCGTTTGCGACCTCTGCTGAATGGTGGCTCGGGACACTCTCACAAATGAGAAGCCCCTTGGGGTCTGGCTCTCGCGTTCTCGCCCTGGCGAAACAAAGTCCACTTCACGAGGCACATTCCTCTCCGAGGCTCCTTCGGCCAGCGGAGGCTCCTGGGGTTTGCAAGGGTGACGCCAAAAACTCAAACCGCGTGCAACGTCTTTCGGCACACGGCAGCGCAAACGTCAAAATGAATTTGCACGCGGGGGGGGGGGGGGGGGGGGGGATGCTACAGAGACAGGAATGCATCTGGAGAGCGGGCGGGAGAGGAGGACGATACGGCGAGCAAGAAGCATGGCGAGAGACACATACCTGTGAACTCCTTATCAGCGCCCTAACTTATTACAGACCAATTCAGACCTTAATGGTCACCCCGTGCCCTTATAAAGCTCAACGTTCATCCTACAAAGTCCCGTCACAAAGAAGAACCACAAACAAATAGACAAAAACAAGTTCTGCCCGTATTGAAATGGCTGTACGCCGTATGGTCCTAAAAACTAAATGTCTCTGTACGAGAATACGGGTAAACCGTGTGGGTTGACAGGTATGGAGGCAGAGAGAGAGAGGGGAATTGGGAGGAGATGGAGGAGAGTTGAGAGGGCAGAGATGCGACAGGAGAGGGAATGTGAGGAGAGGCAGGAGAAGGGTTGGGAGAAGCAGAGAGTTCGGAGAGAAATGGGGAGATTCAATAGAGGGAAGAGTGAAGTGAGTGTGGAGAGAGTGTAACTGGGAGGAAAGTCAAGAGAGATGAGGGAGGGGGGGAAGAAGGGGAGAGTAGGAGAAGGGAGTACTGCCAGACGCTGCCCACACGACTGGACTCCCGCAGTGCCAATGCAGGAAACAGGAGGCGTGCTGCCATGACAACGGACCATTCCAACACAAACGCAGGAAAAGGGGGGCGGAGAGCCAGGGGGGGGGGGGGGGTTAGGCGAGGAGGAGGAGGGGGGAGACGCCATCTCCGTCAGCTGCGGTGCTGCTGACTCTGCTCAGCTGCGACAGCCCAGCAGACTCTGGGAATTGTTTGTGTGGAAATGACGGGAAGCCAGCAAAAAACCCCGCCGCAACCATCAGCTGTTTCTCCACCAACGAGCACTTGGCGACTCAAGTTTCATGAATTCCGGTCGCGGCTAACATCATCGGTGAGCAATTTCTGAATGGATCCAGCGCCGTGCCCTTCAACAACAAGAGGCACCGAGCAGCGTGGCGAAGAATGGTCAAACACTTGATGCAGCGAGCGTGCTGTGATGGTTCCGCCTGAAGACGGAAGCTTGTGTTACCTCCGAAACGTCGTGATTTATTTTTTATTTTTATTAATTTAAATTTTTTATCTACGTGACTTTACCGAAAAAACCTCTGTATCGCGTTAATTCTAGAATTTATCTTACTTGATACAGCTATCGTGCTGTGACGGTTCCACCTGAAGACGGAAGCTTGTGTTGCCTCCGAAACGTCGTGATTTTTTATTTTATTTTTATTAATTTTATTTTTTTACCTACGTGACTTCACCGGAAAAAACCTAAGAATATAATGGTCAAACAACCCGGTGGGTCCAGGAGACGTCAACCACCTCGCCCCAGTATACAGGAGGTCATGGGTTCGATCTCGACGTTTAGATTTCCACTTCACTTCGCTAAATTCAAGCAATGGCACGAAACGTTTTAAAAATCCAGTCAAACCCTCGCTCTGCGCGGGGTTCTGGATTTGCGAGTTCCGCATACTCGCGAGTCATTCAATGCCTGCCAATTCCCCATTCGTGACTCGCAGCAGAGGTCGCAAACGGGTTTTGATTCCTTACCCGTACCCGGCCACACCAGGGTCGCAAATGGGTACCCGTACCCGGCCAGGTACGGGTACCCATTCCCTACCCGTACCCTATCCGAAATGAGTGACAAACGGTTACTCACCAGTGACTCACGGCCTACCCGTACCCGTACCCGGCCGCACCAGGGTCACAAACGGTTACCCGTACCCGGCCGTACCCGTACCATACCCATACCCGGCCGGGTAGGGTACGGGTATCGGGTACCCGATTGCGACCTCTGGGATGAAGCCATGTTGCAGGCGCGGATGGGTTGATTCTAGGAACTTGAATTGTGAGAAGAGACAAGACGTTGGGAAATGAGTGACAAACAGTAACTCACCAGTGACTCACGGTCTACCCGTACCCGTACCCGGCCGCACCAGGTGGGACCGTCAGCCAGATTTGCTGCATCAAGTGAGGCAAGGATTCAAGATGTAAGCCCTTAAATGCAAGTTGAGGGGGGGGGGCTTATCAGAATGTGGTAGCCAATGAATGGAACATATCGGGAGGGGGGGGGGGGGGCTAAAAGAAGGCACTACTTACAGTAGACTCGGTTACAGGATTTGGTATTAAACGAGTTGGCTGCGTCCGTTAAAGAAAGAACGCGAATGCAATCGGGGAAAGTGTTGATGGCTAGCGGCTCCCCAGAGTGCTGAAATGATAACAGCTGTGCGGGCGTTGTTAGCAAACATCCCTGCGCATCACGAGGAGTCATCCTCCAGAATTCCTCACCATCACCACCACCCTCCATCGTCATCAATAAAAAGTATAACCAGTAAAAACAAAGTTTTTCACTCTAAATCCTTTATATGCGTGGCGGCTAGAGTCCTCTCGTCCTCTGGCTTGAGATGGCTGCCACCTATGGGTCAGATGATTGTCTGCAGTATTAAACAATTGGTAATTAAATATTTAATTTGTTTTCCCTAAACAGTGTAAAATTTTGGAAATTATTTTTCACGAACATTAATTGTCTCGCACAACGAGTCTGTGTGCAAAATGTCAGCTCGATTGGATCACGGGAAGTGGGTTAAAAAACGACCGAAAGGTTTGCACGTCGTAAGCAAGCAAGCAAGCGAACTTAATATAAAGGATTTAAAAAATACACATCGTTATTTACGTATCGCAGCCATTGCTATTAAACATTTACCATTTCACTACCTCCGTTCACTCGTACCGGAAACGTAACCCCATCCCTTCCCATCGGAACAAGCTTTTCCACGCTCGCAAACTCCGCATTCGCGAGTGCTTTCAAGAACGTGACCATCTCCCACACCCACCGCGGATCGAGAGAGGGTCTTACTGAAACAGCTTCTACCACCACGTCAGCATCTACAGCAGGGTACACGTGGGAAACTGCAGCACCTCGAAGGGACCTCTCTAGGGCAGGGGTGATGCACCGCTTACGGGCAACAATTACAATCAAGACGCTCTGCCCAGTCACGTACCACGGAGGGCGCGGCTCGAATAAGAATTGGGAACAACACGACAACAGCAAACACATTCCTCCTGCGGAGGGAGCTGGTAGGAACGTTGGGTTGCTCGGTCAATGGCTTGCAGGGTCAACGGCGGCGTGGTGTATTCCGCAATTATGCCCGACTGTGAGAGCGGGCACAAGCCGGCGTGAGTAGGTTAAACGTTGAGTTTTATAAGGGCACCACGGGGTGACCAGCCCTCTCCCCACCAAGCCCCACCTCTCCTACCCCCCACCCAGCCCCACCCTCCACACCCAGTCCCTCCCCACCCACCCTCCCCACACAGCCCCTCCACACCCAGCCCCTCCACACCCAGCCCCACCCTCCCCACCCAGCCCCACCCTCCCCCCCAGAGGTCGCAATCGGGTACCCGATACCCGGCTACCCGTACCCGGCCGGGTATCGGGTACCCGTTTGCGACCCTAGTGCGGCCGGGTACGGGTACGGGTAAGGAATCAAAACCCGTTTGCGACCTCTGCTCCCCACCCAGCCCCTCCCTCCACGACGGACGGACACAATAATCCCCTGTGGGCTGGTGTAACCAGGAGGTTCCTACCAATACCAGGAGGTTCCTACCAGCAAAAGGTGTCACTGTTGCTGTGTCACAGCTGTCTCGTGTGCGTGAGGGGAGGCAGGGAGTGTGAGATGGAGGATCGGGGGGTGAAGAGATACAGAGATAGAGTGATGGATGTGAAGTGAAATCATCGTGAACTCCTGGCCACAACCCAAGCCCTAGGAGGGAGGGTGAGGCAGGGAGGGAGGGATACGGAGGGAGGGGATGGATGTGAAGTGAAATCATCGTGAACTCTAACCCTGGCCACAACCCAAGCCCTAGGAGGGAGGGTCAGGCAGGGAGGGAGGGAGGGATACAGAGGGAGGGGATGGATGTGAAGTGAAATCATCGTGAACTCCTGGCCACAACCCAAGCCCTAGGAGGGAGGGTGAGGCAGGGAGGGAGGGATACGGAGGGAGGGGATGGATGTGAAGTGAAATCATCGTGAACTCTAACCCTGGCCACAACCCAAGCCCTAGGAGGGAGGGTCAGGCAGGGAGGGAGGGAGGGATACAGAGGGAGGGGATGGATGTGAAGTGAAATCATCGCCAACTCACCCGATGTCATCTCGGTAGACGCGAGAGATGAGCACCTCGCCCTTGTGGTTGTAGATGAAGAGGCCCCCGATCATCTTGGCGGATTACAGGGGGCTCCTCCTCATCCACGCGAAGCAAACACTTCCTGCACACGCGGTGTGTGTGTGGGGGGGGTGTAATGGTTGTGGTTGGTTGTGAATGAGTGGTTCGTGAATCGTGGTGATGGCGACCAGGAAATGTGGTTGTATAGGGGTCAGGATTGCTACCAGGCGGACATGATTTCTCCATCAACGTGGGTCTATCGACACCGTCTTAGGCGCGGTACACAGGACTGCACTAGCGTTCAACGCGATGCCACAAACACACAAATAAAACATTCCTTCCAACCGAACACCCGATGCCATTTCGCCGACAGAATGGGAGGAACGCAATCCCACAGTGTGGGTGCCTCGCTAGCCGAGGGGGACCCTGGTGAGTAGAGGGGGGGGGGGCCCGGTCAGTAGAGGGGGGGGGGGTCCGGTCAGTAGAGGGGGGGGGGAACCCTGGTGAGTAGAGGGGGGGGCCCGGTCAGTAGAGGGGGGGGGGTCCGGTCAGTAGAGGGGGGGGGGAACCCTGGTGAGTAGAGGGGGGGGGTCCGGTCAGTAGAGGGGGGGGGACCCTGGTGAGTAGAGGGGGGGGGGCCCGGTCAGTAGAGGGGGGGGGGGTCCGGTCAGTAGAGGGGGGGGGACCCTGGTGAGTAGAGGGGGGGGGTCGGTCAGTAGAGGGGGGGGGACCCTGGTGAGTAGAGGGGGGGGGTCCGGTCAGTAGAGGGGGGGGGGACCCTGGTGAGTAGAGGGGGGGGGTCCGGTCAGTAGAGGGGGGGTGACCCTGGTGAGTAGAGGGGGGGGGGGTCCGGTCAGTAGAGGGGGGGGGACCCTGGTGAGTAGAGGGGGGGGGTCCGGTCAGTAGAGGGGGGGGGACCCTGGTGAGTAGAGGGGGGGGGTTCCGGTCAGTAGAGGGGGGGGGACCCTGGTGAGTAGAGGGGGGGGTCCGGTCAGTAGAGGGGGGGGGGACCCTGGTGAGTAGAGGGGGGGGTCCGGTCAGTAGAGGGGGGGGGGACCTGGTGAGTAGAGGGGGGGGGAGCCCGGGTGAGTAGAGGGGGGGGGGGACATGGTCAGTAGAGGGGGGGGGACCCTGGTGCAGTAGAGGGGGGGGGTCCGGTCAGTAGAGGGGGGGGGACCCTGGTGAGTAGAGGGGGGGGGTCCGGTCAGTAGAGGGGGGGGGGACCCTGGTGAGTAGAGGGGGGGGGGTCCGGTCAGTAGAGGGGGGGGGGACCTGGTCAGTAGAGGGGGGGGGACCCTGGTGAGTAGAGGGGGGGGGTCCGGTCAGTAGAGGGGGGGGGACCCTGGTGAGTAGAGGGGGGGGGGTCCGGTCAGTAGAGGGGGGGGGACCCTGGTGAGTAGAGGGGGGGGGTCCGGTCAGTAGAGGGGGGGACCTGGTCAGTAGAGGGGGGGGGGACCCTGGTGAGTAGAGGGGGGGGGGTCCGGTCAGTAGAGGGGGGGGGGACCTGGTCAGTAGAGGGGGGGGGGACCCTGGTGAGTAGAGGGGGGGGTCCGGTCAGTAGAGGGGGGGGGGGACCTGGTCAGTAGAGGGGGGGGGGGCCCGGTCAGTAGAGGGGGGGGCCCGGTCAGTAGAGGGGGGGGGGGACCCTGGTGAGTAGAGGGAGGGGGTCCGGTCAGTAGAGGGGGGGGGGGGGACCTGGTCAGTAGAGGGGGGGGGGACCCGGTTAGTAGAGGGGGGGGGGCCCGGTCAGTAGAGGGGGGGGCCCGGTCAGTAGAGGGGGGGGGGGCCCGGTCAGTAGAGGGGGGGGCCGGTCAGTAGAGGGGGGGGGGGCCCGGTCAGTAGAGGGGGGGGGCCGGTCAGTAGAGGGGGGGGGGGCGGTCAGTAGAGGGGGGGGGGGATCCGGTCAGTAGAGGGGGGGGGATCCGGTCAATTAGAGGGGGGGGGGGTCAGTAGAGGGGGGGGGTCAGTAGAGGGGGGGGGGCCCGGTCAGTAGAGGGGGGGGGGGGGGGTCAGTAGAGGGGGGGGGGGTCCGGTCAGTAGAGGGGGGGGGTCTGGTCAGTAGAGGGGGGGGGGGTCAGTAGAGGGGGGGGGTCCGGTCAGTAGAGGGGGGGGGGTCAGTAGAGGGGGGGGGGGGTCCGGTCAGTAGAGGGGGGGGGGGGTCAGTAGAGGGGGGGGGGGTCAGTAGAGGGGGGGGGTCCGGTCAGTAGAGGGGGGTGGGGTCTGGTCAGTAGAGGGGGGGGGGTCAGTAGAGGGGGGGGGGTCCGGTCAGTAGAGGGGGGGGGGGTCCGGTCAGTAGAGGGGGGGGGGTCAGTAGAGGGGGGGGGGTCCGGTCAGTAGAGGGGGGGGGTCAGTAGAGGGGGGGGTCCGGTCAGTAGAGGGGGGGGGGTCAGTAGAGGGGGGGGGTCCGGTCAGTAGAGGGGGGGGGGGTCAGTAGAGGGGGGGGTCCGGTCAATAGAGGGGGGGGGGGTCAGTAGAGAGGGGGGGATCCGGTCAGTAGAGGGGGGGGGGTCAGTAGAGGGGGGGGTCCGGTCAGTAGAGGGGGGGGGGGGTCAGTAGAGGGGGGGGGGTCCGGTCAGGAGAGGGGGGGGGGGGTCAGTAGAGGGGGGGGGGTCCGGTCAGTAGAGGGGGGGTCAGTAGAGGGGGGGGGTCCGGTCAGTAGAGGGGGGGGGGGACCCGGTCAGTAGAGGGGGGGTCAGTAGAGAGGTCAGATGCGAGAGGGGGGACGGGGGTCAGTAGAGGGGGGGGGGGGGTCCGGTCAGTAGAGGGGGGGTCAGTAGAGAGGTGAGATGCGAGAGGGGGGACGGGGGTCAGTAGAGGGGGGGGGGGTCCGGTCAGTAGAGGGGGGGGGTCAGTAGAGGGGGGGGGTCCGGTCAGTAGAGGGGGGGGGGTCAGTAGAGGGGGGGGGGATCCGGTCAGTAGAGGGGGGGGGGGGTCAGTAGAGGGGGGGGTCCGGTCAGTAGAGGGGGGGGGGTCAGTAGAGGGGGGGGGTCCGGTCAGGAGAGGGGGGGGGTCAGTAGAGGGGGGGGGGTCGGTCAGTAGAGGGGGGGTCAGTAGAGAGGTCAGATGCGAGAGGGGGGACGGGGGTCAGTAGAGGGGGGGGGGGTCGGTCAGTAGAGGGGGGGTCAGTAGAAAGGTGAGATGCGAGAGGGGGGACGGGGGTCAGTAGAGGGGGGGGGGGGGTCCGGTCAGTAGAGGGGGGGGGTCAGTAGAGGGGGGGGGTCAGTAGAGGGGGGGGTCGGTCAGTAGAGGGGGGGGTCCGGTCAGTAGAGGGGGGGTCGGTCAGCAGGGGGGGGGGTCAGTAGAGGGGGGGGGGTCAGTAGAGGGGGGGGGTCCGGTCAGTAGAGGGGGGGGGGTCAGTAGAGGGGGGGGGGTCCGGTCAGTAGAGGGGGGGGGGGGTCAGTAGAGGGGGGGGGGGTCCGGTCAGTAGAGGGGGGGGGGTCAGTAGAGGGGGGGGGTCCGGTCAGTAGAGGGGGGGGTCAGTAGAGGGGGGGGGTCCGGTCAGTAGAGGGGGGGGGGACCCGGTCAGTAGAGGGGGGGTCAGTAGAGAGGTCAGATGCGAGAGGGGGACGGGGGTCAGTAGAGGGGGGGGGGGTCCGGTCAGTAGAGGGGGGGTCAGTAGAGAGGTGAGATGCGAGAGGGGGGACGGGGGTCAGTAGAGGGGGGGGGGACCCGGTCAGTAGAGGGGGGGTCAGTAGAGAGGTGAGATGCGAGAGGGGGGACGGGGGTCAGTAGAGGGGGGGGGGGGTCCGGTCAGTAGAGGGGGGGTCAGTAGAGAGGTGAGATGCGAGAGGGGGGACGGGGGTCAGTAGAGGGGGGGGGGGTCCGGTCAGTAGAGGGGGGGTCAGTAGAGAGGTGAGATGCGAGAGGGGGGACGGGGGTCAGTAGAGGGGGGGGGGGTCCGGTCAGTAGAGGGGGGGTCAGTAGAGAGGTGAGATGCGAGAGGGGGGACGGGGGTCAGTAGAGGGGGGGGGGGGTCCGGTCAGTAGAGGGGGGGTCAGTAGAGAGGTGAGATGCGAGAGGGGGGACGGGGGTCAGTAGAGGGGGGGGGGGGTCCGGTCAGTAGAGGGGGGGTCAGTAGAGAGGTGAGATGCGAGAGGGGGGACGGGGGTCAGTAGAGGGGGGGGGGGGTCCGGTCAGTAGAGGGGGGGTCAGTAGAGAGGTGAGATGCGAGAGGGGGGACGGGGGTCAGTAGAGGGGGGGGGGGGGTCCGGTCAGTAGAGGGGGGGTCAGTAGAGAGGTGAGATGCGAGAGGGGGGACGGGGGTCAGTAGAGGGGGGGGGGTCGGTCAGTAGAGGGGGGGTCAGTAGAGAGGTGAGATGCGAGAGGGGGGACGGGGGTTAGTAGAGGTGGGGGGGGGTCCGGTCAGTAGAGGGGGGGTCAGTAGAGAGGTGAGATGCGAGAGGGGGGACGGGGGTCAGTAGAGGGGGGGGGGGGTCCGGTCAGTAGAGGGGGGGTCAGTAGAGAGGTGAGATGCGAGAGGGGGGACGGGGGTCAGTAGAGGGGGGGGGACCCTGTCAGGAGCGAGCGGGGAGAGGCCCTCGGATCCTCCCGCGGCCGCCGCCATTCTGGGCCCCGCCCGTCGCTCCCCGCGAGCGGCACCAGAAGGCGAGAGGAGAGAGAGACAACAACAACAACCTCGCGGCAACCTCCACGAACCTCGGGCGCACCACACCTGAGGCTCGGCAGCGAGTAAGAGGAGTCGAGCGAGGCGGCAGGCGGCAGGAGGAGGGAGGAGGAGGAGGAGGAGGGAGGAGGAGGAGGAGGGCGCCTCTCTCGCCGCTTCCCTCAACGGCGCCGCGGCAGCAGCAGCACGGGGGGGGGGGGACGTGGGCCCCGGATCTTCGCGATTGGTCCAGCCCGCGTCACGTGCCCCCCTTTTCCGCAGTCACGTGACAAATGCCGCACTTCCGGCAGCGCGCGCGCACTTGGGCGTGAGGGGCGGGGCCTTATGAGGGGCGGGGTCGTGTGAGGGGCGGGGCCACGTGAGGGGCGGGGTCGTGTGAGGGGCGGGGCTCTACGGGGGGCGGGGCCACGTGAGGGGCGGGGCCACGTGAGGGGCGGGGTCGTGTGAGGGGCGGGGCTCTACGGGGGGCGGGGCCACGTGAGGGGCGGGGCCACGTGAGGGGCGGGGTCGTGTGAGGGGCGGGGCTCTACGGGGGGCGGGGCCACGTGAGGGGCGGGGTCGTGTAAGGGGCGGGGTCGTGTGAGGGGCGGGGCTCTACGGGGGGCGGGGCCACGTGAGGGGCGGGGGCGTGTGAGGGGCGGGGCGTGTGAGGGGCGGGGCTCTGAAAGGGCGGGTCTTGTTTGAGGGGCGGGGCCATAGAGGGCAGGCCCTTGCAAGCCACTCACTGGTAAGACCACCTCTTCTGTACTTAGCTCACCTGGTATCGTCAATTAAGAACAACTCACTGTCCGCAGGTGATTTGCTCGTTAGTTTAGGGGGCACATCTTCCAGGGGGTCTGGGGGGAAAAAGAATTTCCTGCCTAAAATATTAAAGAATTCACTAACACATAGGATGGATTTTTATTTATTTTTAACAATAATGTCTAATAGTGTATTGCTGTTTTTTTCTTTTTTTTTACCTTTCATTGTTTCATTGTATGTAATGGCAAAGATGAGGGATTTATAAAGTACAACCATAACCACAATCATATAAACATAAATCTTTTTTATGTCCCCCCCCCCCCAATATATAATTACGACCTTGCCAGGTATGCACGATAGCCAAATAATTATTTCATCATTAGTTTTAATACATAGGCTTTCGCGACTAACATCCATAATATAGGTTTATTTACGTTATCTTACCCAAAAAACTATATTATGTTTCGATAAAAAGCTTTCGTGACTGCAGGGATTCATCTTCTTGGTTCTTTCAGTAAAGTCACGTAAGTAATAAAATAAAATAAACATAATTTTATTATGTTTTATCATTTTATTACTTCCCTTCTACGTGACTTTACCGAAAGAACCAAAAAGAACAATATTATGTATTCATCGTAACTGCTTTTGCTTCACGAATATAATCTTCCAGAATGAACACCGAGTTCGAGACCCCAAACATTGGACACCTCCTCCTCGCTTTGACGTTCCTCCAAGGCACTGGTGGTGTGACCACGACCCGCATCGGAACATCCACAGAACCACGTGCGCGTCGCCCTTCAAAAGCGGGAACAATTAAAGACACGAGCCACACGTGAGGTCATAGAGCCCAACCTGGACCCACAGAGTAAACCGCTGTGTAGTCTGCGCTCCTTCCAATGCAACAGGAACAGCAAAACGACGCGAACTCTCACCTGAAGCCCTCCCATCGCAGAGGTGGCAACCGGGTACCCGATACCCGTACCCTACCCGGCTACCCGTACCCTACCCGGCTACCCGTACCCGGCCGGGTACGGGTAGCCGTTTGCGACCCTGGTGCGGCCGGGTACGGGTAGGCCGTGAGTCACTGGTGAGTCACCGTCTGTTACTCATTTCCCAAAGTCTTGTCTCTTCTCACAATTCAAGTTCCTAGAATCAACCCACCCGCGCCTGCAACATGGCTTCATCCCAGAGGTCGCAATCAGGTACCCGATACCCGTACCCTACCCGTACCCGCCCGGCCGGGTAGGGTATGGGTACGGCCGGGTACGGGCACCCATTTGCGACCCTGGTGCGGCCGGGTACGGGTAAGGAATCAAAACCCGTTTGCGACCTCTGTCCCATCGTGGCCAGCGACAGCAGCAACAGGCATCCGAGACATTGGTTGGCATTTAGCTCTTGAACCCCATTTGCCCCCTGCCATCGTGCGCAAGAATAGAATTGTAATTTATCCTGGATAGCCTCACCGCGTCCCATTAACTCCCTTCGGAGGGTTGTCCTGCATTTGGATGTTCAGTCAATTGTCGTCAAATGATTATAATAATGCTCTGATAATATATTACAGTATATATGGAGTGTGTTTCACGGAGACACACACTTGAACTAGGAGGAAACACGTGTATTCTACAACCCCAACAGGGCAACTACATAACCGAGGCAGGTCAGTAATGTACTGCCTGACCCACGATGCCGAACATAATGACCGAAGACCGAGGAGACGCAGCACGGCGGGTTGATTCCAGAAGGCAGACAGCCGCGATTGCTCTCGGTACTCTCCTTTTATGCTCCCGAGTGTTGCCACGCCCCCTTCTGGATCTTACCAGAAGGTTCTCGACAGAGCATCACGTGTCCCTCAAGCCTCCCTTTGGGCCCCTTCGCTACCCTGTACCGGTCACGTGCCCTCTCGGGTTCACCAAGACTGTCATGTCGTCGCATACCTTTTCTCTGACCGTCATCAGAACCATGCCCTCTGGGGCCCGCTTCCATGCCATACCCACTCTGGCACCAGAGAGAGGCTCAAGACGCACCGTTACCCTCGTGACAGTAGCTGGCGCTAATAGCCAGTGACGCCTTTAACGTCACTACACATATTATCAAAGCATGTCTTAAATTTCGATTTAAAGCTTTCGTGACTGCAGGGATTCATCTTCTTGGTTCTTTCGGTAAAGTCACGTAGAATGGAAATAATAGACCTGTTATTTTTATTATTTTATTATTTCCATTCTACGTGACTTTACCGAAAGAACCAAGAAAAAGCATGTCTCGTTTGCATGTTCACAAGTACGTGTGGTTAATACAGACTTGATTCCTTGCAAAAGGTATTTATTTGGTGTTTGTGATGGGGCTCTCGAATCGTAGCAGATCAACAGACCGACGCCGACGATCGCCAGACTGATGCAACCTTCAGACCGCTCCGGCGAACACCGAATTACACAAGGCACTTTGTCGGTTCGCACCGCGTGAATCTTCCGTTTTTATTCGTTTTTCGTCATGAACAATGTATGTAGGTTCAGTATTTTCATCGTTCAAGTTGTTGTATGCAGTGTATAATGTACCGTATATTTTATTGGACACTGAAATCAAGGACAGCTACTTTTTTCGTCACGGACATGGGGCCGATCGCCGGACTAGTGGCAGTCTTGTGAACATTTTTTTCCAGTTTTGCCAGATCGACCCGGGACCGCCGGATAATGTTAGGGGCCGGACAATTATGCGCCTCGGCAAGGTAAGGTAAAAACGAGCCTACCTTTACCCTACCCTTTACCTTACCCCTTGGCATGTCCACACCTTTACCCTTTTACCCGGTAAAAAGGGTAAATTACCTTACCTTCTTCTTGGTTCTTTCGGTAAAGTCACGTAGAAGGGAAGTAATAAAATAATAAAAATAAAACATAATAAAACAATTCTCACGACGTTTCGGCCACAACGCTAGCAGCCGTCCTCAGGTGAAAACCAGGTCTGTCGAGGCGACAGCGTCTGAATGAAACAGCACCATGCTTGGAGCATATATTTAAGCTGGGTTGGAAGGGGGGGAAAGGGCGCCTTGACAAAAGAATTTGCATAGCAAGAGGAATTTAGCATATTTATGGGAAATGCAGGTATGTGATTAGGACTACTCATGCCCGTGCATTATGCAGGATTAGCAGCATCAAAGGGAAGGGATATGGGAAATGCAGGTATGTGAATAGTACTTATGCCCGTGCTTTATGCAGGATTAGCAGCATCAAAGGGAAGGGATATGGGAAATGCAGGTATGTGAATAGTACTTATGCCCGTGCTTTATGCAGGATTAGCAGCATCAAAGGGAAGGGATATGGGAAATGCAGGTATGTGATTAGTACTACTTATGCCCGTGCATTATGCAGGATTAGCAGCATCAAAGGGAAGGGATATGGGAAATGCAGGTATGTGATTAGTACTACTTATGCCCGTGCATTATGCAGGATTAGCAGCATCAAAGGGAAGGGATATGGGAAATGCAGGTATGTGATTAGTACTACTTATGCCCGTGCATTATGCAGGATTAGCAGCATCAAAGGGAAGGGATATGGGAAATGCAGGTATGTGAATAGTACTTATGCCCGTGCTTTATGCAGGATTAGCATACATACTATTAACACTCCTTCCCTTTATTAATGCTACCCCTATCCCCTCCTTTTGATGCTAATCCTGCATAATGCACGAGCATGAGTAGTACTAATCACATACCTGCAATTACCATAAATATGCTAAATGCCTCTTGATATGCATATTCTTGTCAAGGCGCTCTTTTCCCCCCTTCCAACCCAGCTTGTATATATGCTCCAAGCACGTGTGCTGTTTCATTCAGACGCTGTCACCTCGACAGACCTGGTTTTCACCTGAGGACGGCTGCTTGCGTTGTGGCCGAAACGTCGTGAGAATTGTTTTATTTTTATTATTTTATTACTTCCCTTCCACGTGACTTTACCGAAAGAACCAAGAAGATGAATCCCTGCAGTCACGAAAGCTTTAAATCGAAATTTACCTTACCTTGCCGAGGCCTACACGCGCCGGATAATCGATGATCTACTGTCATTTCATTGTAGGCACCTGCATTGTCCGCAGGTACTATGATGCACGACGCACAGTTTAACACTTCTGTGATGTACATGCACAACGTTATCTCGGTACACTGCATGCACTGGCGGTGGGGGACCGCGCGATGGCGCAGTGCTGACAGTGCACTGCGTCTGTTTTCCGTGGCTAATGTCGGTGCCAAGTGATAGCCGAACCGTTCCTAGGCCACGTCCGCCTTCACCAACCGACACTGTCGAGCAGGCTTCAGTGCGGCCAAACACTCCCCCCCTCGCTGGCTGGCATGGTGTCAGAAAGCTTTTGGTCCACAATTATTTTATCCCATATAGGCCAATGAAGAGCAAATGCAAGTAGAGGTTCAGTACTACGGAATGGGTCACATTCCATAGTGCCATATTTAATCAATTATCTTGATGTTAAATTACGTTTAAGATTAAATTTTTTAACTGCTGCCCGCAAAGGAGGCAAGCCAACGAGCTGCAGAAGGGGGCAGCCAAATAGCCGCATGCGGCTCCGAAGGCGCAGGTTGCAGACCCCTGCTTCAGTCCAAGCAGGCTCCTTCCTCCAAGGGCAGCCCCACGCAAGGGAAAACTCCAGGTCCTCTGGGAAACTCCGCCGAGGAGATCCCGAGCGGGTCCTCGTCGCCCGGCGACTGCAGAGACTTGAGTGGCGGCGGAAGCGACGATGTCGCCAGTGAGAGACCCGAGGGTTCGGCGATCGTGTGAGCCACGAGCTGCGTGAGCGGCGAGAGTTTTGCCTCCTTCTCCTCGGCCTCGTCGGCCGGTGTCCACGACATGTCCGCCTGCAGTTTGAACGCTCCCAGGAAGTCGTGCGGGCAGCGCGATCCCCAGTCCTGTGTGGCGTCGATATTAAAAAAAAAGCATTGGCGTGGAACTAAAATAATACTGGGATTTGAACGTGAACTTTTTTTTATTCCATTGTTAAAATACAAAAAATTATTGTAAAAAAAAGAAAAACTCCGCCAAATGCGTTTCATCCAAATGTCGCTGTGTGGCGTCGCGCCCCTGAGATCAAGAATCGAAGTTCAAGCTCTCAGAGTGGCACGGCTGCTCCTATTGGTTGTGACCTGAGGAGAGAGGATGGAGAAGTACTGCTGCCCGCTCTCGCGCTGGTACAGGAAGTAGGTGCTGCCCGGTTTCTTGACGACGTTGCAGGCGGCGCGGTGCAGATCGGCGTCGCGCACCGTCTCCTCCAGCACCTGACGCGATGGGGGGAGCATAGACGAGCGACACGGCGCGAGCGATACGGCGCGAGCGACACGGCGCGAGCGACACGGCGCGAGCGACACGGCGCGAGCGACACGGCGCGAGAGACACGGCGCGAGAGACACGGCGCGAGCGACACGGCGCGAGCGACACGGCGCGAGAGACACGGCGCGAGCGACACGGCGCGAGAGACACGGCGTGAGTGACACGGTACGAGCAGCACGGCGTGAGCGACACGGCGTGAGTGACACGGCGTGAGCGACACGGCGTGAGTGACATGGTACGAGCAGCACGGCCGACAAGATGAGCAACGCCAACAACAGATCAGCAACATCAACAGATGAGCAACACCGACTCAGGCAATGTATGTGTGTGTGTATATGTTGAACATCCTAACGGAGAACGCTCTTGAAATGACTTGAGACTGACTGCTGTCGACTGTGTTGCAACTTCTGATGATGATGATGATGATGATGTTGGTAATGCAACTGCTGTTGATAATGACTGTGTTGATGATGTACGTATGTTGAACTTCCTTTGTACTGTACGTAGTCAACTGTGCGCATCTGAGATGACTGGCAGGTGCCAGATCCCACACACACACACGCATGCATGTGCTATTACCAACATAATTGGTGAATTCATTGCGGTTGTGAGGTCACGAGGCGTCTCACCGTGCGCGCCTGCTCCTGGAGGTACCGGATGCTGTCGGCGATCACCGACAGCTTGTTACACGCGTTCGCGCGGATGAACTCGTCAGCCTGTACAAGGTAAAAAAATTAACCCGTAAAAACAGTTTTTCACTATAAATCCTTTATATGCGTGGCGGCTAGAGTCCTCTCGTCCTCTGGCTTGAGATGGCTGCCACCTATGGGTCAGACGATTGCCTGCCACCATTAAGCAATTGGTAATTAAATAGAAATTTATTTTTCCTAAACAGTGTAAAATTTTGCAATTTTTTTTTCTCGAAAATCAATTGTCACGCACAACGAGTCTGTGTGCAAAATGTCAGCTCGATTGGATCACGGGAAGTGGGTTAAAAAACGACCGAAAGATTTGCACGGTCGTAAGCGCGCAAGCAAGCAAGCACGCAAGCAAGCGAACTTAATATAAATGATTTAAATAAAAAACGACCGAAAGATTTGCACCGGTCGTAAGCGCGCAAGCAAGCAAGCAGCGAACTTAATATAAAGGATTTAAAAAGACAAAGATACCCCGCTTAGCATTTAACAGAGCTGTTGAGGGATACGCGTGGTTAGCAGGCACCTACGAAGGCCGGCATGGCGCACGAGGTAGTGGTGGTAGTGTGGTCAACACCAAACGCGGCCGCCTGTCTCTTCAGTGCTGATGTTTACACATGATTTCGATTTAAAGCTTCTTTCGTGACTGCAGGGATTCATCTTCTTGGTTCTTTCGGTAAAGTCACGTAGAATGGAAATAATAAAATAATAAAAATAAAACATAATAAAATAATTATCACGACGTTTCGGCCACAACGCAAGCAGCCGTCCTCAGGTGGAGAACAGGTCTGTCGAGAAGACAGAATCTGAATGTCTTATCGACAGACCTGTTCTCCACCTGAGGACGGCTGCCTGCGTTGTGGCCGAAACGTCGTGAGAATTATTTGATTATGTTTAATTTTTATTATTTTATTATTTCCATTCTACGTGACTTTACCGAAAGAACCAAGAAGATTTACACATGATATTGACACGTCAGAACTGTGCTGAGTCGACCTAGGGGAGGCCCAGGACCAGGCCGTGATTGGTCGTCAACGGGAATCGAAGTCGGGTCCGCCAGGGTCCATAGTGCAGCGTGCTCCAACAGCGGCACCACCACTCCCCACGTGTTTAGACCAGAAGACTCAGGCGGGCAATTCAACCAATCGGTGGGGTCCACAACGTGGGTCACGTGACCATCAGTGATTGGCCAGTGATGATGGACCGACACCAGAAGACAGTAGCGGCTACGGCTGCTGCTTCTGTTGGTGCACTTCCTGTTTTAACTATTGCTGCTACGACACGTTCTCAGTCTGGAGTTGTGCACTTTTAGATAATCGAAGTTGCAAACTCGTTTCTTTTTGTGTTTAGTTTGTTGTCCTTCGCCGCACCTCCCGATTAACACGGTTGGCTACGTACGGTATCAAATAAGTTCAACATACATACTGGACATCATAGTTACTATCAACAGCAGTAGCATAATCGTCATCATCGGTTGCATCACCATCTACAGCAGCAGAAGCATCGTCGTCCGTCTCAAGTTGTTTCAAGAGCGTTCGCCGTCAGGACTTTCAGCCAATTCAACATACATACAGTACATACATGATGTTAATCTGAGGATATGCAGTACATATTACCGGTTGGATTAGCCACAGTGAATCAACATATGTGAAGCTACATAGGCATGCAATTAAACAGTGTATTACTTGATAGTAGGCTACCAAGCAGCACAAATATTTTTACTTATCAAATTTTTTATATATTCTGTAATTAGCCTTGGCCAGTATTAATTAGTTTTAGAGAAAACAACATTATCAAAGTCAATTGAATGTCCATGTTGGCACGCATGGTCTGCAACTGCCAACAGTCGTATTTGTGAGTATTTGCTGTTATTGTCTTCTACTTCAACTGCTACTGCTATTTTTAAATATAATAATGTTTTGTTTTATTTTACCAGGTAAGGCCCTCTGAGCTCTTTTTAAATCCTTTATATTAAGTTCACTTGCTTGCTTGCGCGCTTACGACCGTGCAAATCTTTCGGTCGTTTTTTAACCCACTTCCCGTGATCCAATCGAGCTGACATTTTGCACACAGACTCGTTGTGCGTGACAATTTATTTTCGTGAAATTTTTTTTCCAAAATTTTCCACTTTTTAGGAATTTTTTTTTCAGATTTAATTTAAAATACCAATGTGATAAAAATGAAACTCTTACTCAAGAAAAACAGAAATGAATAATAAAATAAAACCGATGCCACGCATATAAAGGATTTATAGTGAAAAACTTTGTTTTTACAGGTTATACTTGTTCAGTATCTGCCTGGACACAAATGATAGCTCAACGAAGCGGCTTATCCACGTGGAAACTTCTAATGGACAAAATACTCTAAATGCATTTTTGTCAAATGCGGAGGTAAAAACCGGAGGACCCGGAGAAAAATCCACGCGACCACGGTGAGAAAGACACGCAAACTCCAAATATACAGCAGCAGCAAGCGTCAGGGTCGGAATCGAACCCACGACCTCCTGCATACCAGACGAGGTAGTTAACATCTCCTAGCCACCGTGGCACCCAATAGCTGCTGCTGTTGCTGCTGCTACTGTTGCTGCTACTCCTTCCTGATGTGCTTCAATGACTGCTGCTACGACAAGAACTCATCCTGCAACTGCTACTACTGTGTCCTGCTTCGACCGCTGCTGCTGCTGCTGCGGCACACACCTTCTGCACCTGCTGCGCCAGGGCGACGAGGTCCATGGGCTCCCCCGAGCGGTTTGTGCGGTACGGGCTTACGAGCCGCACCCCACGTGGGCAGGCAGAGGTCTCCACCAGGCGAACTGAGGACAACAACAACATCACCATCATTACCATCATCATCACCCCACCACCATCAATACCATCACGATATCAACACGAGTCGCACCCCACTAGGACAGGCGGAGGTCTCTACCAGGCCTGAGACAACAACATCACCATCATTACCAACAACATCACCACCACCAGCATCACGATATCAACACAAGCTGCACCCCACGTGGGCAGGCGGAGGTCTCCACCAGGCGAACTGAGACACCCACAACAACATCAACATCATTACCAACATCACCATCATTACCAACATCATCACCTCAATCGCCTCCTTCAAGAGAGACTTAAGAACTTACCTTTATAACCACGTGCTTTCGAGCGACTCTGAGCTTGGCTCCGCGCACCTCTGAGTTGCGGCCGTTACATCCGAAAATTTGCGCGCGTTATAAATTGCATTATTATAATTAGTGAGCCTTACCTGGTAAAATAAAAAAAACGTTGTTTTGTCATCCCTATGAATACAGCTGGCACTGTGCAGTGATTGACAACTTTGTGGTGAGCACGCAAACAATAACCGTGCTCTGATCATACGGCATTGTCTCTGAAACTGATTGTTCTACAGCAGAGACGGCGGCCTTCCTGAAGGCCTCATCTCAACCGCTGTTAGACCAGAGAACGCCAAAAGGCGAACAGCACAAGGAGAATGCCACTACATTCTTGGTTCTTTCGGTAAAGTCACGTAGAAGAGAAATAATAAAATAATAAAAATAAAACATAATACAATTCTCACGACGTTTCGGCCACAATGCAAACAGCCGTCCTCAGGTGAAGAACAGGGCTGTCGGAAAGACAGCGTCCTAATGAAACACTGCCAAGCTTGGCAGGGTATTTTAAGCTTAGAGTAGGGGAATCTCTTCAGAAAGGTGACAGAGACTCCATCAGTTGAAGATTCTTATCCCGGAGTTTGTTGAAGGATCTCAAAGTTTTGTGGAATCCCTCCCGTAGAGGCGGTTACATTTCGATGTAAAGCTTTCGTGACTGCAGGGATTCATATTCTTGCTTCTTTCGGTAAAGTTAGGGAATTAATAGCTAGGGCTTAGCATCTTCTTGGTTCTTTCGGTAAAGTCACGTAGAAGGGAAATAATAAAAATAAAACATAATAAAATAATTCTCACGACGTTTCGGCCACAACGCAAGCAGCCGTCCTCAGGTGAAGAACAGGTCTGTCGGGGAGACAGCGTCTGAGGACGGCTGCTTGCGTTGTGGCCGAAACGTCGTGAGAATTATTTTATTATGTTAAATTTTTATTATTTTATTATTTCCCTTCTACGTGACTTTACCGAAAGAACCAAGAAGATGAATCCCTGCAGTCACGAAAGAAGCTTTACATCGAAATTTAGGGCTGAGCAGCTACAACCATTGGGGGCCCTTTCTTGCCAGTATCAAAGAATAAGTTTTACCCAAAGATGTTCAAACCCCAAACAGAAACCTTTCTCAAATGAACCAAACATTAACGATACGCGTGGTGAGCATGCAAACTAAAACATGCTGCTTGCTAAAGGTCCCTGTTTGGCGTTTGAACATCTTAAACGCCCCCTGTAGTATTGCCAGAAAGGGTAAAAACCTATAATTGTACTAACACCACCATTGCACGTATTTATTTGCAGTGACTTGCTTAGGGGCCGTACATAAATGACGTCACGCGACGATTTTTGACCCCCCCTCCTTCGTCACACGGCGTCACAAAAAGTGAGACCCCCCCCTCAAATGACGTCACAAAGCTCTGCCCCCCCCCAAAAAATAAAATAAAACATACTTCAAATCGCTTTAAACTATTGTCATTGTAGTGCGTATTTAATGTGGCGCTGCACTCTGATGTTGTAGGAGAAAACATTTATTAATTGATTTATTTTCATTTATTATTATTTTATTATTTTTTACCTACGTGACTTTACCGAAAAAACCTAAGAGTATGAATCCTTGCAGTCACGAAAGCTTCAAATCTAGAATGTATTAAAAAAAGTATATTTAATTAAGTAGAACTGTTGTCTATATTTATTTAAATTTGCGCTTTTTGATGTGACGTCCCATTTACCACCCCCCCCGTCCCCCTAGGTGCGTGACGTCATATATGGACGACCCCATTGTTATACTTAGCACCCGTCTCGACTTGACATTCCGTGAGTAAAGAGCTTCATAGCTTATCGGATTAAGAGCCAGGCTAATGATACCGATGCACTCGCAAACTCTGATCAGTGTTAGCAGCACGGCGATCCACGAATTGCCGTTGCTAATGTTGGCACGTGCTATTATGAGATTATAATGAGATTCATATTCTTAGGTTTTTTTCGGTAAAGTCACGTAGGTAAAAAATTACAATTAATAAAAGTAAAAATAAAATAAAAATCACGACGTTTCGGAGGCAACACAAGCTTCCGTCTTCAGGTGGAACATCATTTTATTTTACTTTTATTAATTTAAATTTTTTACCTACGCGACTTTACCGAAAAAAACCCAAGAATATGAATCGTTGCAGTCACGAAATCTTCAAATCTAGAAAGATATAATAATGAGATTATGAGCGTCGGAGTTAACCTTCTTTGTCTTAAAAAGGTGTCTCACCCGTGGCGTCGGCTTTCTTCGCGTCCAACGCCATCGTCATGTTGCCAAGGGGAACGTTGGATTCTTGTGTCCGTGAGTGGCTAGACGTTTCGGGACCTAAGCCTAACCTGTGGCAGGAACACCAACCTATACGCACACGCTGTACAAACCTGTGCGCGAATTTAATTGTTCGGACGGCAAATGACAGCACCACATTAGTAGGAGGACGAGGATGACATCGAACACAACTGATTATTATTATTAAACAAAGATTTGACTTAAGGGCATGTTGTTGTTACAGCATTGGGTTACACCATACACTTGTGTAACCGCGGTACAGTCAGCCGTGCAGTATAAAACGTACTATTAAAACACTTTAAACAATACACAATCAAAGTGCGTGGATGACTGCGCGCTTAAACGTACTATGTAACTGTGTTAAAAACTTTGCTTGTGCTATAACGAGGTGTTGCCTTGCAATGAATTGGCCCGATCAGTCAACACCAACTCTGCCAGAGAACAAATGAGCCGTGGACCCCAGCGCCCGTTGGTTTTATACAAACCTCGCTTCACATTTACCACTACGGATAAGAGCAGCAGCCAATCAGCTACGCGAGCTTTATTTATTTATTATACATATAGCCAATCGCGGCCAAGCTCACTACTTATCTGTATTACGAAATGTAATTGTACTTTGGAAGGTATGAGGTGTCTGTGTCGGTGCCTGTTGTGAGGTTAATTAGGAGATTTCGTAACTGCAGGAATAACTCTTACTCTTTGTTTCTGTCGGTAATGTAAAGTATAAAAAGAAATTAATACATTAAATAATAAATGTTATTATTTACTCTTTGGTTATTTCGGTAAAGTAAAGTATAAAGAGAAATTAATAAATTAGATAATAAATGTTATTATTTATTCTTTGGTTATTTCGGTAAATGTAAAGTATTAAAAGAAATTAATACATTAAATAATAAATGTTATTATTTACTCTTTGGTTCTTTCGGTAAAGTTAAGTATAAAGAGAAATTAATACATTAAATAATAAATGTTATTATTTAATCTTTGGTTCTTTCGGTAAAGTTAAGTATAAAGAGAAATTAATAAATTAGATAATAAATGTTATTATTTATCTTTGGTTATTTCGGTAAATGTAAAGTATTAAAATAAATTAATACATTAAATAATAAATGTTATTATTTAATCTTTGGTTCTTTCGGTAAAGTAAAGTATAAAGAGAAATTAATAAATTAAATAATAAATGTTATTATTAATCTTTGGTTCTTTCGGTAAAGTTAAGTATAAAGAGAAATTAATACATTAAATAATAAATGTTATTATTTAATCTTTGTTTCTTTCGGTAAAGTTAAGTATAAAGAGAAATTAATACATTAAATAATAAATGTTATTATTTAATCTTTGTTTCTTTCGGTAAAGTTAAGTATAAAGAGAAATTAATACATTAAATAATAAATGTTATTATTTAATCTTTGGTTCTTTCGGTAAAGTTAAGTATAAAGAGAAATTAATACATTAAATAATAAATGTTATTATTTAATCTTTGTTTCTTTCGGTAAAGTTAAGTATAAAGAGAAATTAATACATTAAATAATAAATGTTATTATTTAATCTTTGTTTCTTTCGGTAAAGTTAAGTATAAAGAGAAATTAATACATTAAATAATAATATTATTTAATCTTTGGTTCTTTCGGTAAAGTTAAGTATAAAGAGAAATTAATACATTAAATAATAAATGTTATTATTTACTCTTTGGTTCTTTCGGTAAAGTTAAGTATAAAGAGAAATTAATACATTAAATAATAAATGTTATTATTTAATCTTTGGTTCTTTCGGTAAAGTTAAGTATAAAGAGAAATTAATACATTAAATAATAAATGTTATTATTTAATCTTTGTTTCTTTCGGTAAAGTTAAGTATAAAGAGAAATTAATACATTAAATAATAAATGTTATTATTTAATCTTTGTTTCTTTCGGTAAAGTTAAGTATAAAGAGAAATTAATACTTTAAATAATAAATGTTATTATTTAATCTTTGGTTCTTTCGGTAAAGTTAAGTATAAAGAGAAATTAATACATTAAATAATAAATGTTATTATTTAATCTTTGGTTATTTCGGTAAAGTTAAGTATAAAGAGAAATTAATACATTAAATAATAAATGTTATTATTTACTCTTTGGTTCTTTCGGTAAAGTTAAGTATAAAGAGAAATTAATACATTAAATAATAAATGTTATTATTTAATCTTTGGTTATTTCGGTAAAGTTAAGTATAAAGAGAAATTAATACATTAAATAATAAATGTTATTATTTAATCTTTGGTTATTTCGGTAAAGTTAAGTATAAAGAGAAATTAATACATTAAATAATAAATGTTATTATTTATTCTTTGTTTCTTTCGGTAAAGTTAAGTATAAAGAGAAATTAATACATTAAATAATAAATGTAATTATTTACTCTTTGGTTATTTCGGTAAAGTAAAGTATTAAAATAAATTAATACATTAAATAATACATGTTATTATTTAATCTTTGGTTCTTTCGGTAAAGTTAAAAACGAAACCTTTTAATTTTACCAGGTGAGGCCCCACTGAACTGTGGAACTCCTTTTCAAAGCGGACTGGCTCTGCCAAATGACAGCTCAACGAAGTGGCTTCATCATCCCGTGGACTTGCATAGCAGCTAATACTCTAAACGCTGTGATGTTGGTACGAAATGTGGAGGGGAAAAAACCAGAGGACCCGGAGAAATATCCACGCGACCACGGGGATATTGAGAGAGAGACACCTGGTCTTCACCTGGTCTTCACCTGGTCTTCACCTGGTCTTCACCTGGTCTTCACCTGGTCTTCACCTGGTCTTCTCCTGGTCTTCACCAGGTCTCCCAGTCTTCCTGGTCTTCACCTGGTCTTCACCCTGGTCTTCACCTGGTCTTCACCAGGGTCTTCACCAGGTCTTCACCTGGTCTTCACCTGGTCTTCTCCTGGTCTTCTCCTGGTCTTCACCAGGTCTTCACCAGGTCTTCACCTGGTCTTCACCAGGTCTTCACCTGGTCTTCACCAGGTCTTCACCAGGTCTTCACCAGGTCTTCACCTGGTCTTCACCTGGTCTTCACCATGGTCTTCTCCTGGTCTTCACCTGGTCTTCACCTGGTCTTCACCATGGTCTTCACCAGGTCTTCACCAGGTCTTCACCTGGTCTTCACCTGGTCTTCTCCTGGTCTTCTCCTGGTCTTCACCAGGTCTTCACCTGGTCTTCACCTGGTCTTCACCTGGTCTTCACCAGGTCTTCACCTGGTCTTCACCAGGTCTTCACCATGTCTTCCCATGGTCTTCCCAGTCTCCAGGTCTTCACCTGGTCTTCACCTGGTCTTCACCAGGTCTTCTCCTGGTCTTCACCTGGTCTTCACCTGGTCTTCACCAGGTCTTCTCCTGGTCTTCACCTGGTCTTCACCTGGTCTTCACCAGGTCTTCTCCTGGTCTTCACCTGGTCTTCACCTGGTCTTCACCAGGTCTTCACCAGGTCTTCACCTGGTCTTCACCTGGTCTTCACCTGGTCTTCACCAGGTCTTCACCTGGTCTCACCTGGTCTTCACCTGGTCCTTCACTGGTCTTCTCCTGGTCTTCACCTGGTCTTCAACCTGGTCTTCACCAGGTCTTCTCCTGGTCTTCACCTGGTCTTCACCTGGTCTTCACCAGGTCTTCACCAGGTCTTCACCTGGTCTTCACCTGGTCTTCTCCTGGTCTTCACCAGGTCTTCACCAGGTCTTCACCTGGTCTTCACCTGGTCTTCACCAGGTCTTCACCAGGTCTTCACCTGGTCTTCACCAGGTCTTCACCAGGTCTTCTCATGGTCTTCTCCTGGTCTTCACCAAGTCTTCACCTGGTCTTCACCAGTTCTTCACCTGGTCTTCACCTGGTCTTCACCAGGTCTTCTCCTGGTCTTCACCTGGTCTTCACCTGGTCTTCACCTGGTCTTCACCAGGTCTTCACCAGGTCTTCACCTGATCTTCACCAGGTCTTCACCTGGTCTTCACCTGGTCTTCACCAGGTCTTCACCAGGTCTTCACCAGGTCTTCACCTGGTCTTCACCAGGTCTTCACCTGGTCTTCACCTGGTCTTCACCTGGTCTTCACCCGGTCTTCACCAGGTCTTCACCTGGTCTTCACCTGGTCTTCACCAGGTCTTCACCAGGTCTTCACCTGGACTTCACCAGGTCTTCACCTGGTCTTCTCCTGGTCTTCACCAGGTCTTCACCTGGTCTTCACCAGGTCTTCACCTGGTCTTCACCAGGTCTTCACCTGGTCTTCACCAGGTCTTCACCAGGTCTTCTCCTGGTCTTCTCCTGGTCTTCACCTGGTCTTCACCAGGTCTTCACCAGGTCTTCACCAGGTCTTCTCCAGGTCTTCACCTGGTCTTCACCTGGTCTTCACCTGGTCTTCACAAGGTCTTCACCAGGTCTTCACCTGGTCTTCACCAGGTCTTCACCTGGTCTTCACCAGGTCTTCACCTGGTCTTCACCTGGTCTTCACCAGGTCTTCACCAGGTCTTCACCTGGTCTTCACCAGGTCTTCACCTGGTCTTCACCTGGTCTTCACCGGGTCTTCACCCGGTCTTCACCAGGTCTTCACCTGGTCTTCACCAGGTCTTCACCAGGTCTTCACCTGGTCTTCACCAGGTCTTCACCTGGTCTTCACCTGGTCTTCACCTGGTCTTCACCAGGTCTTCACCTGGTCTTCACCTGGTCTTCACCAGGTCTTCACCTGGTCTTCACCAGGTCTTCACCTGGTCTTCACCAGGTCTTCACCTGGTCTTCACCTGGTCTTCACCAGGTCTTCACCTGGTCTTCACCTGGTCTTCACCTGGTCTTCACCAGGTCTTCACCTGGTCTTCACCTGGTCTTCTCCTGGTCTTCACCAGGTCTTCACCTGGTCTTCACCAGGTCTTCACCTGGTCTTCACCTGGTCTTCACCAGGTCTTCACCAGGTCTTCACCAGATCTTCACCTGGTCTTCACCTGGTCTTCACCAGGTCTTCACCTGGTCTTCACCTGGTCTTCACCTGGTCTTCACCAGGTCTTCACCAGGTCTTCACCTGGTCTTCACCAGGTCTTCACCAGGTCTTCACCTGGTCTTCACCTGGTCTTCACCTGGTCTTCACCAGGTCTTCACCTGGTCTTCACCTGGTCTTCACCAGGTCTTCATCAGGTCTTCACCTGGTCTTCACCAGGTCTTCACCTGGTCTTCACCAGGTCTTCACCTGGTCTTCACCTGGTCTTCACCAGGTCTTCACCTGGTCTTCACCAGGTCTTCACCAGGTCTTCACCTGGTCTTCACCTGGTCTTCACCAGGTCTTCACCTGGTCTTCACCTGGTCTTCACCAGGTCTTCACCTGGTCTTCACCAGGTCTTCACCTGGTCTTCACCAGGTCTTCACCTGGTCTTCACCTGGTCTTCACCAGGTCTTCACCTGGTCTTCACCTGGTCTTCACCTGGTCTTCACCAGGTCTTCACCTGGTCTTCACCAGGTC